CCTGCCCACGTCCGAGCATTTAGACTTGGTTCCACCCCCTACCCACCTCCGAGCATTTAGACTTGGTTCCACCTCCTACCCACCTCTGAGCACTGAGACTTGGTTCCACCCACTACCCACCTCCAAGCATTGAGGCTTGGTTCCACCCCCTGCCCACGTCCGAGCATTTAGACTTGGTTCCACCCCCTGCCCACGTCCCAGTACCTCTCCATTTAGAGAATACACAGCCAATTATAATTTTGACAACAAGAAGAGCAGAAAAATAGATCCCCCGTAGCCAGAAGCAATACCCCCTCTTCCTCAGCCACAGTAGATTCCTCCAGCAACAATTGACCCCCAAAACAAAATACCGCCCCAGCATCAATAGACCCCCAGCAGCTACAACAGATCTTCCAGCAGCCAGCATCAATAGACTCTCCAGCAGCCAGCAACAATAGACAATAGACCTCTCCCTCAACAGTAGATTCCTTCCAGCATCAATTGACCCCCATCAACAATAGATTCCTTTCCCAGCAATGATAGACCTCCCCAGCAACAATAGACCACCACACAAATATAGATCCCCTTCAGTGACAATAGATCCACCAGCAGCCAGCAACAATAGATCTCCAGGCACCCCTTGCCATTAGTGAAAAGTATACCTTATGGAGCTGCTCCAAGCTATGGATGGGAGGAAAAGGATAACCACACCGGCAAGTGAGAAGTGAGGAGCATGAGTCCAAGTGATTCCAGTGTCAGCCAATACAAGTGAAGGGATGGACACAGCTCAAATGACCCCAGGAGTCCAATGTTGAGGAATGGCCTCAGCCACTGTTCTGGCCATACCCACTGATGTGTTGTTTCACCCCACCTACCAGGGCTTGGTGACAGAGGTCCTCTGTGATCAAGCCCCGGTGGGCGGGGTGAAACACGTCAGAGGACATGGCCTAAATGGCGGCTGACGCCATTCCTCAACATTGGACTCCTGGGGACGTTGAGCAGCGTCCATCCCTCTCCTTGTCCTTCATTCAGTGCTAGAGGTGCTGGAACTGCGTTCCCCCCGCGTTCCTGCTGAAAAAAAAGCCCTGAGTGACTCTACAATAAAGCTCCAGTTACGAGTGAAACCTGGTGGACTTGTCCGTGCATTGACTTGCTTAAACTTAGTTTTTTTACGGTGAACGGCTTTTTACCTCCTTTCTTCTAAGGACTGAGGTGATGTATGTGGAACATTTCATGACCCCGGGGAGCCTGCTCCCAATACCGGGTGGCTGTAGGAGTCTGCAGGGGAACATTACTCTCTTTACATATTGACCAAGAAGGATTGTGCTGGATGACTTCTTCTGAGCAATGGCCCCTTTTATGGGCTACAACTGACTTTGGAGGCTGACAAATATTTGCTTGGACGTTGAACAGCTGGAACAGATGTAAACTTCAGTCATTCAAGGCACACACTGGTTTATTGCTGCTTTTTTTTTTGGGATGGCTCCTACTGTCACAAATGATATTCAGAGGAGCCTTAGGCCTGTATGCCCAACCCTTCTTGGTCAACTGATAAGTTGCATATTACTACGCACATAGATGAGGACAGGAAGTGTCCTCCTATGTGTGAACTGCACATGTGTAGACTTACCAGCATAGCTCCCACCTGTCCTTCTTTTGGAACCTCTGTCCCTCGTTCTTCCGCAGTTTCCCCCTATTTTTTGGCCTGATGTATAAACCTCTGTCAAAATTGTACTATTTATCAAACATAGGTGAACCCATTGGTGTAGCTTGGGTTGCCAGCGCCTTGAGGCAAAGCAGCTGCTGCCCCCCACCCCATAGACTTTTAGCACTCCCTTCCATCAGAATATATATATAAATACATGCTTCACAGTATAATTTGGGCCTTACCTGAGTTCCCCTGTAAGTCTGGCTTACTCATCCACTCTACGCACCCTCTTAGGTGAGCATCTCTCTCTGTATACCCCTATCCTCTCATAGTGCACCCCCACTCCCTTCAACATCTCATTGTGCCCCCCATCTCCATACATCCCCACCACATTGTGCAGTCCCAGTGTGGAAACTCCCTTATTATGCAGCACAGCTCCATACACCCCCAATTGTACACCCCAGTCCCTCCATCCCTTTATTGTGCACCCGAAACTCCATACACCCCTCCATTGTGTACTCCCAGTCCTTCTACCCCCCTATCCTGCACCCTAACTCTATATTCCCCATTGAGTACCCCAGTTCCTCCACCCCCTTATCGTGCACCCCAAATCTATACACCATTGTGTACCCCCAGTCTCCTCACCAAATTATTGTGCACCCCATCTCCATACATGCCACCACTTTGCACCCCCAGTATCTTCACCCTATGATTGTGCACCTCAACTCCATACAACAAAACTCTATACTCCACACTGCATTGTGCAGCATCAGTCTCTCCACCCCCCTTATTGTGCACCCCAACTCCATACCCCCCACCCCCCATTGTGTACCCTAGTCTCTCCACCCACTTATTGTGCACCAAAACTCCATACTCCCCATTGTGCACCCCCAGTCCCTCCACCCCCTTATTTTGCACAGTAGCTCCATATAACCCCCCGCCCCCCCCAGGCTCACTGGCTGGAGTTCCAGTGTATGGTGTGACGGTTGGCAGTGGTCCTGGGGAGGGGGGAGGAGAGAAGAGAAAGGAGATGGGAAATCAGATTCCTCCTCAACTGAACCAAGCAGAGCACTGCCATACACTCAGCGGGGGCGTGCTGCCTGCTCTCCTCAACCCCACCCACTCTGACCCAGAGCCTCCCAGTTGGACCCACCCACACCGCCTATAAGGGAGAGAGAGAGGAGGTTAGCGTTGCTGACAGGATCAGAACAGTCGATTTATTTTCCCAGTGCTCTCTCCCAATAGGAAGATTCAATCTATAGTCAACAACCCATACAATCAATACGACACATGGGGAAACGGATTTTGATCGATAGTTGAAAGTTACGATCATAAGTTATCAATCGCATCTCTGTTTTCACGATGCACCCTCGTTATCTGATCGATCGATATCTGGTCAGATTCATTAACAAAGTGCCTCCGACCAATGCTTGATAATAATTTTCTAGCCTGACCAATCGTCTCAGCTTGATCGAAAATGGAGTCTAAACCGATTGGAAGGGAAGTTAAATATAGCAACAAACACAAAAATAGTGAAGCGCTAAAACGAATCCCTACATACGCACACAGTGCATATAATATTAAATGAAAACCATACCTCATAAGTAAAATATATCCGTGACATAAAAAATGTGTCAATAGAAAACCAAATAAAATATTTTCCTTGCCCCTAAATTATTTCTTTAAATCATACATTGATAAAAAAATAGAAAATCCATGATAATACGAATAAACAGTGATGAAAAAAAAATATATATAAAAAACTGTGTTAATTAATATATATATATATATATATATATATATGTGATAATACCAATAATAAATGTGACACCTAACAGAATAAAAGCATATAAATAGTGAATCTCAATCAAATATACGTGATTGTTGTGAAAAAATTATGCTATTACATAAAAAAAAACCCTAAAACTTGTGATGTTTAGATATAAATAAGTGTCCATAAATGAACAAACACAGTCCATGCAGTAAGGTGAAAACGACACTCAGTGTTCTTCACTTCTAGTGCTCATAAAAAAGACAGGGAAGAAATCCTCCAATGGCAGCAATGCCTGCTCACCTCCCCAACTCGACCCGCAAAGGGCCACAAGGCTATATCTCTCCTCCAGGTAATCCTTTGCTTCCAAGCAGCTCAGTAAGGAATCACAGGACCTCCTCTCCACCTCATGCGTTTTGTTAGTAATATGCAGTCCTCCTCATTCCCTGGGTGCATTCACATGTACATAGGGAAACCAATATGGTCGCTGTGCTCGGACATCCGTCCCCACGTGACCGGAAATGATGTGTCTCTGGGCTGGGAAAAGCGTTCCGACGCGTTGCGTCACGTGCGTCGTGACTTCATCAGGGTCATTCCCATTCATTCAAGTTAAATATAGCGGCTTCTCCTGTCAAGTGACTACCAACTCAAATCTGCATATACACTATATTGCCCCAAGTATTGGTCGGCCGGCCTTTCTACGCACATGACCTTTAATGGCCCCCCCAGTCTTAGTCCGTAGGGTTCAATATTGAGTTGGCCCCGCCCTTTGCAGCTATGTGCACTGGTGTGCAGTCATGTTGGAACAGAAAGGGGCCATCCCCAAACTCCTCCCACAAAGTTGGGAGCATGAAATTGTCCAAAATGTCTTGGTATGCTGACGCCTTAAGAGTTCCCTTCACTGGAACTAGGGGGCCAAGCCCAACCCCTGAAAAAACAACCCCACACCATAATCCCCCCTCCACCAAACTTTACACTTGGCACAATGCAGTCAGGCAAGTACCGTTCTCCTGGCCACCGCCGAACCCAGACACATCTATCGGATTGACGGACGTCCAGCGTGATTGCTCACTCCAGAGAACACGTCTCCCCTGCTCTAGAGTCCAGTGGCAGTGTGCTTTACACCACGGCATCCGATGCTTTGCATTGCACTTGGTGATGGAAGGCTTGGATGCAGCTGCTCGGCCATGGAAACCCATTCCATGAAGCTCTCTACGCACTGTTGTTGGGCTCATCTGAAGGCCACACCAAGTTTGGAGGTCTTTAGCTATTGACTCTGCAGACAGTTGACGACTTCTGTGCACTGTGTGCTTCAGCATGCGCTAACCCCGCCCTGTCATGTGACGTGGCCTACCACTTGGTGGCTGAGTGGCTGTTGTTCCCAGTTGCTTCCACTTTGTTATAATCCCACTAACAGTTGAGCGTGGAATATTTAGCAGCCAGGAAATGTCACGGATGGACTTATTGCCCAGGTGGCCACCTATCACGGGACCACGCTTGGAGTCACTGAGCTCCGGAGAGCGACCCATTCTTTCACCAATGTTTGTAGAAGCCTAGGGGCTTGACTGTATACACCTGTGGTCATGGAGGGGATTGGAACACATGATTTGGAGGGGATTGGAACACCTGAATCACATGATTGGGAGGGGATTGGAACACCTGAATCACATGATATGGAGGGGATTGGAACACCTGAATCACATGATATGGAGGGGATTGGAACAAATGAATCACATGATTTGGAGGGGATTGGAACACCTGAATCACATGATATGGAGGGGATTGGAACACCTGAATCACATGATTTGGAAGGGATTGGAACACCTGAATCACATGATATGGAGGGGATTGGAACAAAAAAATCACATGATTTGGAGGGGATTGGAACACCTGAATCACATGATATGGAGGGGATTGGAACACCTGAATCACATGATATTGAGGGGATTGGAACACCTGAATCACATGATATGGAGTGGATTGGAACACCTGAATCACATGATTTGGAGGGGATTGGAACACCTGAATCACATGATTGGGAGGGGATTGGAACACCTGAATCACATGATATGAAGGGGATTGGAACACCTGAATCACATGATATGGAGGGGATTGGAACACCTGAATCACATGATTGGGAGGGGATTTGAACACCTGCATCACATGATTGGGAGAGGATTGGAACACCTGAATCACATGATTGGGAGGGGATTGGAACACCCGAATCACATGATTGGGAGAGGATTGGAACACTTGAATCACATGATTGGGAGGGCGGGGCCAATACTTTTATAGAGTACCTTCACAATACAGCAATGTATAAATATCACTGTATAAAGCTTACAGTATGTATAACAATAGATACGTCTTTCTCGGTCGGCTGTGAGGAGTCATCGAGGTCGCGGAGCCTCCATTGTGCTGCAGAATGAATCTATGTCCATAGGAGACACCGTTTTTTGAGGGTCACGCTCCTTGAAATGAAAGGAATCCGCGGTATTTGAGAGAAATGTTATTTTCTTGCCTCTAAACGCTCCTTTCCCCGCTTGTCAGAGCCGGGATAATTGGAAGTGATTGGGTCTGACAGAGAGCATTATAACTCAATGCATTGAAATGCTATTTATCAGAGCCTGTAATAAGGGCGCACCGGGAGCCAAACCACACGCGAGGACTGCGATTGGGCCGGAGTTGTATGGCGCAGCGCGGTGGGAAGGACGGGACGCTTATACAACACAGATGAGGATTTAAAGGCGCTATTCTTCATTTCGGCTCTAATCTGCGCCGCGCGTGGCGAGGAGACCTTTTAGCTCTTCAAACCTAATAGGTGAAAAAGGCGACTTATCACCGGAGGGTTCTAAACGAGGCTGGAGGCCCACATACCTGCCCACCATCTATCATCTCTGAAGACTCTTCAAATGGTGGACCCCGGTGTAGAAACTCATTCTTCTTTTAATATTTCTAAAAGGTTGTAGATATTTATTCAGGACCAGGGGCGGACTGACCATTTGAGCACTCGGGCACTACCTGAGGGCCTGGGGTCAGTAGGGGGCCCCATGAGATGCCCCTGGTACCTTTTTTATAGGCTTTTTTGAGTGTGGGCAAGGACACAGGGGCCCCATGATCCCCTATTGCCCGGGGGCCCCATGAGTTGTCAGTCCGCCCCCGTTCAGGCGTAACACGGTTTACGGACGCCTCGGTTAATGTCATTTTCGGGGTTTACGAATGAAAATCCATTGAAAATAATGCCTCAGTTTACAAATTTTTTTTTTCGCAATACGAAGCAAGTTTCCCCAGGATGCATTGCACCTGGGAGGTTTATAGAGCCGGCACCGTGCCTTTAACCACTTCCCGTCCGGCCCATGTATGTAAACGGGCGGACGGGAGCAGTCCCGGAGCGGGTGGACGTTTATAAATGGTGCCTGCATTCACTTCCTGTGCGTGCTTCCTGGGATTCTGGTGCCTTCTGTGTGTCCGGAGGACACCGATTGCTGTACGGGACCTCTGTGCGATTTATGTGATCCCTGATTGGCCAATCAGTGATCACATGAACAGTAGTATTTATTTATGTATTTATTACAGATACTTTTATAGCGCCGTCAATTTACGCAGCGCTTTACATATATATTGTACATTCACATCAGTCCCCGCCCCCGAGGAGCGTACAATCTAAGGTCCCTAACTCACATTCATACATACACACACTAGGGACAATTTAGACAGGAGCCAATTCCCCTACCAGCATGTCTTTGGCGTGTGGGAGGAAACTGGAGTACCCGGATGAAACCCATGCAGGCACAGGGAGAACATGCAAACTCCAGGCAGGTGGTGCCGTGGTTGGGATAAACAAGATGTCACTTCCTGACATCATTACTTACTATGTGTAAAATCTGTGAATGATCACAGAGATCACATGGTACAGGGCCATTAACAACAGCCTTGTACCATATGACAAGCTGTGACCAATCACAGCTCACACAGTACTTCTCAATGGCTGCAAGAATGCAGCCAGAGAGAAGGAGAAATGATTGCTTTTACAGCCTTTATGGGTATAAAAGCAATCAGTGGAAAAAAAATCTTCATCACCCCCCACAAGTAGTACAGTGTCACCATGGTGACCCTGTACTCCTAGGGTGACAGTATGTAAAAAAAAAAAATAATATAAAAAAAAAATGAAAATGTAAAAAAACATTTAGAAAAATTTAACTTTTTGGTTATAAACTAATTTTTATTTTTTTTACTAAAAAGATAACTGAATACATTTTGGCCAAGATTTATGATGAGATATTATTTATTTGCAAAGGTTTATAAGAAAAACACTTTTTTTTTCAAAATCAAAATTTTTCATTTATACAGCAAAAAAATAAAAATCCCAGCGGTGAATAAATACCACCAAAAGTTTTATCTGTCTCAAAAAAATGCTAAAAAATGAATATGGGTACAGTGTTTCATGAATTGTCATTCAACGTGTGATAGCGCTGAAAGCTGGAAATTGGCCTGGACTGGAAGGGGGGGAAAGTGTCCGGACTGGAAGGGGGGGAAAGTGTCCGGACTGGAAGGGGGGGAAAGTGTCCGGACTGGAAGGGGGGGGAAAGTGTCCGGACTGGAAGGGGGTGAAAGTGTCCGGACTGGAAGGGGAGGGGGAAAGTGTCCGGACTGGAAGGGGGGGAAAGTGTCCGGACTGGAAGGGGGGGAAAGTGTCCCGGACTGGAAGGGGGGAAAGTGTCCGGACTGGAAGGGGGGGAAAGTGTCCGGACTGGAAGGGGGGGAAAGTGTCCAGACTGGAAGGGGGGAAAGTGTCCGGACTGGAAGGGGGGAAAGTGTCCGGACTGGAAGGGGGGGAAAGTGTCCGGACTGGAAGGGGGGGAAAGATTCCGGACTGGAAGGGGGTGAAAGTGTCCGGACTGGAAGTGGATAAAAGTTTCCGGACTGGAAAGGGGGGAAAGTGTCCGGACTGGAAGGGGGGGAAAGTGTCCGGACTGGAAGGGGGGGGGAGTGTCCGGACTGGAAGGGGGAGGGGGAAGTGTCTGGACTGGAAGGGGGGGAAAGTGTCCGGACTGGAAGGGGGGGAAAATGTCCGGACTGGAAGGGGTAGAAAAACGTGTCCGGACTGGAAGGGGGGGAAAGTGTCCGAACTGGAAGGAGGGGGGGAAGTGTCCGGACTGGAAGGGGGGAAAAGAGTCCGGACTGGAAGGGGGAGAAAGCGTCCGGACTGGAAGGGGGGAAGTGTCCGGACTGGAAGGGGGGGAAAGTGTCCGGACTGGAAGGGGGGGAAAGTGTCTGGACTGGAAGGGGGGGAAAGATTCCGGACTTGAAGGGGGTGAAAGTGTCCGGACTGGAAGGGGGGGAAAGATTCCGGACTGGAAGGGGGTGAAAAGTGTCCGGACTGGAAGGGGGTGATCATATCACCCCTTATGTATTATACATGGTGATCATATCCCCCCTTATGTATTATACATGGAGATCATATCCCCCCTTATGTATTATACATGGAGATCATATCCCCCCTTATGTATTATACATGGAGATCATATCCCCCCTTATGTATTATACATGGAGATCATATCCCCCCCTTATGTATTATACATGGAGATCATATCCCCCCTTATGTATTATACATGGAGATCATATCCCCCCTTATGTATTATACATGGAGATCATATCCCCCCTTATGTATTATACATGGAGAGTCATATCCCCCCTTATGTATTATACATGGAGATCATATCCCCCTTATGTATTATACATGGAGATCATATCCCCCCTTATGTATTATACATGGAGATCATATCCCCCCCTATGTATTATACATGGAGATCATATCCCCCCCCTTATGTATTATACATGGAGATCATATCCCCCCTTATGTATTATACATGGAGATCATATCCCCCCTTATGTATTATACATGGAGATCATATCCCCCTTATGTATTATACATGGAGATCATATCCCCCCTTATGTATTATACATGGAGATCATATCCCCCCTTATGTATTATACATGGAGATCATATCCCCCCTTATGTATTATATACATGGAGATCATATCCCCCCTTATGTATTATACATGGAGATCATATCATGGAGATTATACAGATCATATCCCCCCTTATGTATTATACATGGAGATCATATCCCCCCTTATGTATGTATTATACCCCCCTTATGGAGGATCATATCCCCCCTTATGTATTATACATGGAGATCATATCCCCCCTTATGTATTATACATGGAGATCATATCCCCCCTTATGTATTATACATGGAGATCATATCCCCCCTTATGTATTATTATACATGGAGATCATATCCCCCCCTTATGTATTATACATGGAGATCATATCCCCCCTTATGTATTATACATGGAGATCATATCCCCCCCTTATGTATTATACATGGAGATCATATCCCCCCTTATGTATTATACATGGAGATCATATCCCCCCCCCTTATGTATTATACATGGAGATCATATCCCCCCTTATATGTATTATACATGGAGATCATATCCCCCCCTTATGTATTATACATGGAGATCATATCCCCCCCCTTATGTATTATACATGGAGATCATATCCCCCTTTATGTATTATACATGGAGATCATATCCCCCCCTTATGTATTATACATGGAGATCATATCCCCCTTATGTATTATACATGGAGATCATATCCCCCCTTATGTATTATACATGGAGATCATATCCCCCCCCTTATGTATTATACATGGAGATCATATCCCCCCTTATGTATTATACATGGAGATCATATCCCCCCTTATGTATTATACATGGAGATCATATCCCCCCCCTATGTATTATACATGGAGATCATATCCCCCCCTTATGTATTATACATGGAGATCATATCCCCCCCTTATGTATTATACATGGAGATCATATCCCCCCTTATGTATTATACATGGAGATCATATCCCCCTTTATGTATTATACATGGAGATCATATCCCCCCTTATGTATTATACATGGAGATCATATCCCCCCTTATTATGTATTATACATGGAGATCATATCCCCCCTTATGTATTATACACATGGAGATCATATCCCCCCTTATGTATTATACATGGAGATCATATCCCCCCCCTTATGTATTATACATGGAGATCATCATATCCCCCCCTATGTATTATACACATGGAGATCATATCCCCCCTTATGTATTATACATGGAGATCATGAGATCATATCCCCTTATGTATTATACATGGAGATCATATCCCCCCTTATGTATTATACATGGAGATCATATCCCCCCTTATGTATTATACATGGAGATCATATCCCCCCCCTTATGTATTATACATGGAGATCATATCCCCCCTTATGTATTATACATGGAGATCATATCCCCCCCCCTTATGTATTATACATGGAGATCATATCCCCCCTTATGTATTATACATGGAGATCATATCCCCCCTATGTATTATACATGGAGATCATATCCCCCCTTATGTATTATACATGGAGATCATATCCCCCCTTATGTATTATACATGGAGATCATATCCCCCCCCTATGTATTATACATGGAGATCATATCCCCCTTATGTATTATACATGGAGATCATATCCCCCCTTATGTATTATACATGGAGATCATATCCCCCCCCTTATGTATTATACACATGGAGATCATATCCCCCCTTTATGTATTATACATGGAGATCATATCCCCCTTATGTATTATACATGGAGATCATATCCCCCCCTTATGTATTATACATGGAGATCATATCCCCCCTTATGTATTATACATGGAGATCATATCCCCCCTTATGTATTATACATGGAGATCATATCCCCCCCTTATGTATTATACATGGAGATCATATCCCCCTTATGTATTATACATGGAGATCATATCCCCCCCCTTATGTATTATACATGGAGATCATATCCCCCCTTATGTATTATACATGGAGATCATATCCCCCCTTATGTATTATACATGGAGATCATATCCCCCCTTATGTATTATACCCCTATGTATTATACATGGAGATCATATCCCCCCCCTATGTATTATACATGGAGATCATATCCCCCCTTATGTATTATACATGGAGATCATATCCCCCCTTATGTATTATACATGGAGATCATATCCCCCCCTTATGTATTATACATGGAGATCATATCCCCCCTTATGTATTATACATGGAGATCATATCCCCCCTTATGTATTATACATGGAGATCATATCCCCCCTTATGTATTATACATGGAGATCATATCCCCCCCTTATGTATTATACATGGAGATCATATCCCCCCTTATATATTATACATGGAGATCATATCCCCCCTTATGTATTATACATGGAGATCATATCCCCCCTTATGTATTATATACATGGAGATCATATCCCCCCCCCTATGTATTATACATGGAGATCATATCCCCCCTTATGTATTATACATGGAGATCATATCCCCCCCCCCTTATGTATTATACATGGAGATCATATCCCCCCCCTATGTATTATACATGGGATCATATCCCCCCCTTATGTATTATACATGGAGATCATATCCCCCCTTATGTATTATACATGGAGATCATATCCCCCCTTATGTATTATACATGGAGATCATATCCCCCCCCTTATGTATTATACATGGAGATCATATCCCCCCCTTATGTATTATACATGGAGATCATATCCCCCCTTATGTATTATACATGGAGATCATATCCCCCCTTATGTATTATACATGGAGATCATATCCCCCCCTTATGTATTATACATGGAGATCATCATATCCCCCCCTTATGTATTATACATGGAGATCATATCCCCCCTATGTATTATACATGGAGATCATATCCCCCCTTATGTATTATACATGGAGATCATATCCCCCCTTATGTATTATACATGGAGATCATATCCCCCCTTATGTATTATACATGGAGATCATATCCCCCTTATGTATTATTATACATGGAGATCATCATATCCCCCCTTATGTATTATACATGGAGATCATATCCCCCCCTTATGTATTATACATGGAGATCATATCCCCCCTTATGTATTATACATGGAGATCATATCCCCCCTTGTATGTATTATACATGGAGATCATATCCCCCCTTATGTATTATACATGGAGATCATATCCCCCCCCCCTATGTATTATACATGGAGATCATATCCCCCCCTTATGTATTATACATGGAGATCATATCCCCCCCTATTATGTATTTATACATGGAGATCATATCCCCCCCCCTTATGTATTATACATGGAGATGATTCATATCCCCCCCTATGTATTATACATGGAGATCATATCCCCCCTTATGTATTATACATGGAGATCATATCCCCCCCCCTTATGTATTATACATGGAGATCATATCCCCCCTTATGTATTATACATGGAGATCATATCCCCCCCCCCTTATGTATTATACATGGAGATCATATCCCCCCTTATGTATTATATACATGGAGATCATATCCCCCCTTATGTATTATACATGGAGATCATATCCCCCCTTATGTATTATACATGGAGATCATATCCCCCCTTATGTATTATACATGGAGATCATATCCCCCCTTATGTATTATACATGGAGATCATATCCCCCCTTATGTATTATACATGGAGATCATATCCCCCCCTTATGTATTATACATGGAGATCATATCCCCCCTTATGTATTATACATGGAGATCATATCCCCCCTATGTATTATATATGGAGATCATATCCCCCCTTATGTATTATACATGGAGATCATATATCCCCTTTATGTATTATACATGGAGATCATATCCCCCCTTATGTATTATACATGGAGATCATATCCCCCCCTTATGTATTATACATGGAGATCATATCCCCCCCTTTATGTATTATACATGGAGATCATATCCCCCCCTTATGTATTATACATGGAGATCATATCCCCCCTTATGTATTATACATGGAGATCATATCCCCCCTTATGTATTATACATGGAGATCATATCCCCCCCCCTTATGTATTATACATGGAGATCATATCCCCCCCCTTATGTATTATACATGGAGATCATATCCCCCCTTATGTATTATACATGGAGATCATATCCCCCCCCTTATGTATTATACATGGAGATCATATCCCCCCCTATGTATTATACATGGAGATCATATCCCCCCTTATGTATTATACATGGAGATCATATCCCCCCTTATGTATTATACATGGAGATCATATATCCCCCCTATGTATTATACATGGAGATCATATCCCCCCCCTTATGTATTATACATGGAGATCATATCCCCCCTTATGTATTATACATGGAGAT